TCCATGTCACCTGAAAATGGTGCTTCATCACACAAATGCCTATAAAGGAAAATTGTGGAAAACACATCACAAGAGCAATGTACATATATTGTAGAATAAACAGAAAGCAGTTTACTCATAATTTAGTATTTAGCATAGTATGATATTTAAAGGCTTGGGCTTCTAAATCTGGTGTTTGAATTCCAGTTCAGTGATTTGCTAGTTTTTTGACTTTGGATGTATTAACATTTCCAGGTCTGGTGGTTTCATCTAGAGAACACAGATCATTTTAAGAGCACCTAGATAATAAGGTTGTGGGCATGAAATTAGCTAATACGTGTGATAGGGTGCTACTGGGCACATATCTGGCACACTAGCCCTTGAGCCTTACAGAAGTTTTAGCACCCTCCCCCATGAACATATACTTTACCTCCAAATTGAGTAACACTGCACCACGTGCTATTTTACACCACGATTTTGCACACTGACTACAGAATGAAAACTTCCCAAGCTATTCCCTATTTTTTAGGTAATTTAGAAAGGATGCATAATACTCTAATGTATTGCAATTAACCACTGTTTAATTGTTTAAGTTACATTACTTTATAATACTGTTTAGCTAATTCATTTTATGCCTTTTAAATAATTTTATTTTTTGGTGCTGGGGCTTGAATCCAGGTCTCCCATATGCTAAGCACTGTCTCTACCACTGATTTCTACCCCAACCCCTTACAGATTTCTCTTTACTATCAGATCACTTTGTGCCTTCTAATCAGCTTTGAGCTGCAATACATCTGTCCTCTCCATCTGTGGTAAGACAAATAAACCTCTTCTCCTTACAACGCCCCCCCCCAAAAAAAAAAAAAACAACCCTTGGACGTCCAGCCTTCATAATGGCAATAAATAAATTTCCGTTCTTTCTAAATTACCCAGGCTCAGGTATTTTGTTATAGCAACAGGAATGGACTAAGACATCTACATGTAGTGCAGGATTTACAGAAGCAAGAAAATGCTGATTCAGCTATTAAGTTGGAATATTGAAGACTTTAGAACTTGAGGACAAGGGCTGGCCAGGTAGCTGAATGGACTAAAGTGCCTGCTTGGAGAGAGCCCAGAGGCCAGTGTTTGATCCCTGGTGTGCCATGCTGGCCCCGCCCCTGGGGTGAGTTGAGACAGCAATTGAGATTGGGCATGGTGGTGCATGCCTATAATCCCAGTGCTTGGGAGGCTGAAAACAAGAGGATCACTGTGATTCCAATCTATGTAGTGAGACCCTGTACTAAATACATTAAAAAAAAAAAAAGAATTTGAGGACAAAGAAAAAGAAACTTAGTTTATCATCTTTACAGCAGGGATGACTTCAAGCATAAAAAAAAGAATTCCTGGGTATCGATTCCATTTCAAATGTGGGGCTTCCAGAAATTTAATTGGAATCTAATAGTTCTTCAGGAAGTATAACAGAATTTAGATCCTCTGAGGACCAAATCCTTTGAAAAGGTGTTAAAATAATTGGGAGTACATCTTTTATTAGTGTCTCAGTTACTTTTTACTCATTGCTGGGACAAAATACCCAACACCCTAAATTAAGGAAAGGTTTATTTAGCTCACAGCTTGTGGAGGTTTCAGTCTATATTTGGTTGGCTCCTAGGCAGAGTGGCACATTGCAGAGAGCAGCAGTTCATGGCGGCTGCTGTACTTCTGGCCAGCCTCTCTCCCCTCCTTATATTATAAACATGCTATCCTGGGGCTGAAGGTGTAGAACTCACAATGTCCATGCCCTGTTCTTACACAGGATGAGGATATTTACAAACTAAGAATCCTGGCTCTCTGCTGAGTCACTTAAACTTCTAAACTTTTCAAGTTGACACAATGTATCAACTAGTACAATCCACCCCTTGTCAACTTGGCAACCAGATATTTCCTTAAACCAGTTTCTAGGTACATAGATATGCTTTTTAACATTTTACAACTTGAACATTAGAACCATAACATTTTGCTCCTGGGAAACCTTCCCACCCAAGACTCATGCAGATCCCTTTATGCAAAAGGCATTTTAGTCCATCTCTAAGAATTGCCAAAGTCCTAACACTTTGAGCACTGCTAAAAAGTTTAAGTCTCAAGTCTTCTCTAAGATCTAAGGCAAACTCTTAGCTGTTAGCCCCTAAACAAATGAAAAGTTAAACACTTCCAACATTCAATGGCATAAGAGAAATATTACCATTCCAAAAGGTACAAGCAGCAGGATACAAAGCATTGGGACCAAAGCAAGTCCAAAATCCAGAAGAGCAAACATTAAGTCCTGTAGTTCCATGTGGAACATCTGAAGCAATCTGTAATGAGTTGTGAGCTCCAAAAGCCTTACATGGCTCCATCTGTACTGCACTTCTACTGGTAGCTACCATGGCTTTTCTCTGGGGTTGGCTTTGCTCCCTCCTTGCAGCTTTTCTCAGACAACCCATGTTCCTGGCTTTTCCAAACTTCTGGAATTTCCACTGAATAGACTTCTCACTCAGAGCTTTACACATTGCCCTCTAAGGGGCATACTGCCTGGCCTCCCAGGCCTTCTGAAATCTAGGTGGAAGACTTAACCTCAGAATACCTGCATTCTGAATGTACTTTAAACCAATGTCACATGGGTGATGCCAGGTCTGCTGCCAGCTGGAGCAGCAGCTAGGCTCCCTTCTCTCTTGGCTGTAGGGACTGAGTGCCTGGATTGCTGAGTACTTTGAACCTGATTCCAAGGAACAAATCCTCTATGCCAGCGCCGTTCTGGAACCTGGTGTGGCTACTACTTCCATTCTGGAACATGGGGCACTGCAGCTGCAAAGGGCAAGGACCTGCCACTTCCCGTAAAGCCCTCTGGACATCTTTTCTATTCTCCTGTTCCTCCTGGGCAATGGAGATGTCAGCTCTATGTTTGCAGTCCACAGCCACCTTAGTGCTTCTTTTCTGAACAAACTCACATTTTAAGTCACCCTGCTGGGCTCTTTGCTGTTGATTATCCACATAAATTTGACTAAAAGCCCCCAACAATAGCCATGCCACTGCTTCAACATTTAATTGCCTTGACATTTCCTTTGTCAGATTAATTATTCCACTGTGTTTAATCTCACCCTCAGGCAAAGTCTCTGGACATGAACAAAATGCAGATAAACCTTCTGCCAACCCATAACACAAATCATCCACAGTCCAACCAATGCAGTCCTTCCCGGCAGAAACCTCTCCAGCCTGGTCTTTACAGGCAGGGTTTTTATTAGTATTCTTGTCTTCTGAACTCTGATCAGAATCTCCCTTACAGAAAAGCCAAAGGCATTCATTCTAGCTCTTTGCAAATAGGCAACATCTCTAAAACTTTCCTATCTCTTTCCAAAAGCCATTCACAAAAGCTTTTGAATGACATGGTCAGGTAGTCACAGCAATGGATCCCTCCCTGTACCAAATTTTGTCTGTTACTTTTTACTTGTTGCTGTGATAAAATACCTGACATCCAAAATTAAGGAAGGAAAGGTTTATTTAGCTCAACAGTTCGTGGAGGTATAAGTCTATACTTGGCTAGCTCCCAGGCAGAGTGGCACATGGCAGAGAGCAGCAGCTCATGGCAGCAGAAAACAGTGAAGAGCAAAAGGAAGGGCAGCAGCTGCAGCTTCTAGCTAGCCTCTCTCCCCTCCTTATATTATAAACAAGGTACCCTAGGGCTGGAGGTGTGGAACTCACACAGTGTCCATGTCCTACTCTTGTACAGGAAGATGATGTTTACAAACTAAGAATTCTGGCTCTCTGTTGAGTCACTTAAACTTCTAAAGTTGACATAATATATCAAGTAATACTATTAGGTTAAATTTTTTTGTAAACATAAAAACAAATCAATTCAGGGGCCAGGAATGTAGCTTAGTGTAGAACACTCAACTAGCATGTAGGAGGCCTGTGGTTCAATCTTCAATTTCACACTGGCATATTAAAAGGTGAGATAATAAAATGATATAGTGAAAAAATAATTTATTCAGTAAAAATGTTTTTAGTTCCAAAACAGTGAAGTGATATAGAATAAGAAAATTATGTTATTCGATACATACAAGTTATTTCAGTTCATTTGTAATTATAGTCCAAAATTTTTCTCTTGTTGAAGTTTTATGTTTTATGTAGTTAGGCTCAAGAGAAAAAGTAAACTTTAAACATCCTCAAACTTGTTATTGAAGGCTTCTATATACACACATACATACATGTACATATATACATATCGATATCTATATAT